AAGGATAACCTTTTATTTGTACCAGGATTATGCAGAACCAAAAGGTTAAAGGTTAACTACCCAGCCCCTACATAAGGAGACGGCCACGTGAGCCATTGTGTTTTAGGGCTTGGGGCTGGGGGTTTGGGGTTGGAGGTTTTTGGTGCATTCGGGCGGCTGAGGATTGACGATACAGCATCATGTGAATTCCACAGGGGTGCTGAGTTCAAGTTTGCCAGCACGACAGACTCCCCATCAGAGCGAACGGCTCTGCAGAGCCACTTCCCGATTTTGCGCATCTGTTCTTGGCACTGGTTCCATTCTGTGCATGAACACCTGTGCTCTTGCTCCTGCGCTTGGTCAAGCGTACCCCCTCAAATAAATTCGCCCCACATCGTGACTCACTGTTGAGGATATCCGACTCGACATGCTCTAAACACATGACACAAATAACTTCCTCCCCACATTGCACCAACTTCCACCGAAACCCTAAACCCTCTTTTGCAACCGGACTCCTTGCTGCCAGGAAACCCTAAACCCTTAACCCTAAACCCTGAACCCTTAACACCCTAGACCCTAAACCCTAATCCCTAAACCCTAAACCCTAAACCCTAAACCCTAAACCCTGAACCCTAAACCCTAAACCCTAAACCCTGAACCCTAAACCCTAAACCCTAAACCCTGAACCCTAAACCCTGAACCCAGCCCAAGACCCCTGCAGTGAGGCTCGCGCCCATCCTCGCATGCAGATCTTCTGCATAGTGTGGCACCGGCCCGTGCAGCTCCAGCATGGGCTGGCGGGCACTGGGTTTAGGGTTTAGGGTTTAGGGTTTAGGGTTTTGGGTTTAGGGTTTAGGGTTTAGGGTTTAGGGCTTAGGGCTTAGGGCTTAGGGCTTAGGGCTTAGGGAGTTCAGGGAGTTTAGGGTGTAGGGTCTAGGGTTTAGGGAGTTCAGGGAGTTTAGGGTGTAGGGTTTAGGTTCAGGGAGTTCAGGGAGTTCAGGGAGTTCAGGGAGTTCAGGGAGTTCAGGGAGTTCAGGGAGTTCAGGGAGTTCAGGGTATTGGGTTTAGGGTAGAGGGTTTGGGTCACTTGGGGCTCTTGGAGCACTTGGCGGGCACTGGAACTAGGTCGGGTCCTGTAAGTGAACTGCCTCTCATATCACAGTGGCCACCATATGGTACTTGGAAAGAAGGTGCACCAACTACAAACAACTACCCAGCGTCGAGATCGACTCCCTGAACCTTTTTTTTACTTGAAAAGGTGAATGTTCGGAACTTGCTGCAAGCCCTTGAGCCCCAAAGCCCAGAAACAAACAACCGGAAGCCTACTGTGGGACATCCAAAAAAAGAGGTCCATCAACCCGGGGGCCAGTGACAAACCGCGCCACACACGCGCATTTCTCCAGCGCCATACGGACTTGGCTGGACTGAAGTCTTTTGCCAAACTCCTGCCGTGCACACAAGGAAGCAGCCAAAACCCTAAACCCTAAACCCTAAACCCATGTTCATCATCGTCTTGCGGAGCTGGCGGGGAGCTGACAGCTGCACCAAAAGTTGGATGAAAGAAGCTTTGCTTGCCATCCTCCAGATTTGGCAGACTGCCTCTTGCTTCAAACTTCCACCCTAAACCCTTTTTTAAGCACGGACGGAGGGTTTAGGGTTTAGGGTCCCTAACCCTAAACTTGGAAATCCGAGTGTGAATAGGGTGCAAGAAAAGATTGTGCATAGGTTGAGGGCGTGGAGCCTTTTGCATCTGGGCTCACCATGCCCATTTAGATTTCCGGACCTCCACTTTCAGTGCTGGTCCCCGGGGCTTTGTTGGGCTCCGGGCATTGCAGCAGTTGGAACCCTGAGCCTCAGCTGTCCAGTAACCTGGGGGAACTGAAGGTTAACCTTTGGGATTATAAGGGGATTATCCTATTCTACTGCTAGGAAGCGCGTCTATGGCAAGAAGAAGAGGCAGCCCTCATGCAGCCTGTGTTTGTGCCGTCGACGAGAGGCCCGCTCGAAAGGTCAGATTCTCGGCTCTAAGGATAGCTTTGGAGGCTTGGAAGGCTGAAAGAGTGGACCCCCCCCCCCCCCACAACTCCCCCTACACCAAAACCCTGCACCACGACTCTTCTTACCCTGGCCGACTTTTCGCCGGCTACAGCTCAGTCTCGCACTTCAAGGAGATGCACAAGGGGGTGCACAAAAATGATCACATGCCCGCAAAGATGATGCAGCGCACCAGCTTCGTGCAACCTTGTAAACCCAAACTCGAGACCTTGAACCCTACACCTTGGGATGCTCTCCCTTCTCCTAACAGTCCTTAAGAGGGATTGTAGTACCCCCGATAATGATCCCTATTCAAGACTGTTAGAACAAGGGGGAACACAACCTACACCCCTAAACCCTAAACCCTAAACCCAAAAGTTTCTGACCTCGTCTTGGAGCTGCTTGCCTCTCTGGAACGATTGAAAGACAACAAGCCCATGTTCGAGTTTCCACACGCGTCCAAAGGGTGTAGGGCTCCGGGATGACATAGTGGGACTGATTAGGGTTTAGGGTTTATAGAATTTATAGGGTTTAGGGTTTGGGGTTTGGGGTTAAGGGCTTAGGGTTTTCATAGAGTTTCAAACAGAAATTCGCATCCAGGCTTCCGGGTCTTGGAAAAGGGCCCTGGCGACTGAAACTTGAGATCAGGTTTAAAACTGGGGTGTGCCTATAGGTGATGTTCAGGGTCTCAAAATGTGCTTGCTTCGCTGCCCAATAGCCCTACGGATCAACTCACCAGTTGCGTCGCAGAAAGAGTGCGGATACTTGCGCGGCACTTCCTGGCGATCCCCCAACGAAGAAGGCGAACGGCACTTGGGACAACCTGAGCATTACAATGCCAGCATCTCTCAACCCGCACATGGGCAGGCCGGCGGAAGTCAACCGCAGGAGGCGCCATGCATCATCTCATCTTGTTTCTCAGATGCTTCCCATCATGTAAAGCTGCCCGCTGCACACTTGTTCAGCAATCGTTTGGAGGCGGTCGCTGGGCGGCCTCTGCTATGACAGGCCGTTGTGTGTGTGTGTGCACGTCGCCCACAAGAGCAGCGAGGCCGTTTAATCTTCTAACATTCGGCTTCGACACTCCTTTCCCCGTCACATTCACACACCACCTTGCCAAGAGTCCCAAGACTATCCCAATACTCACAGTGTCTGGAGGACAGAACCTTGAGGGGTTTAGGATCCACGGAGTAGTTGTTTGCTTGAGATTTGCCATATGCCTAGCTGACTGTTAAGGACTTAGGGCAAGCTAGGGTCATCAGGCTTTGCACAGGATTCCAAAGGGCTGACTCGCAAATACTCGAACATGTGCAGTGGACGTATTTCGGCCACTTGGTTGCAAGTGAACATGGACGAAGCACTGCAATTGACGGTTGCAACTCCTCAGCAGCTCCATTGCCACCAATAGGGGTGCAGCACAGAAGAGAGTGCCAAGGAGCTCTTTCCCAGAACCCAACACCCAACCAAAAGCCACCACCAAACCTTGCCCCGCATACCAGAGACCCAGCGATGAGAAACAAACACATCCAAATCGTTCACCCACCGCGGAGCAGTGTAACTTGAACGTCTAGGGTAACAATTTTTACATGGGGCTTGCAGGCGTGCTGCCGCACACAGATTTTCTGTATATTGAAGCGACTATTGCAGCTGGCACCTCTTCATCATGCAGCGCTGCTGCCCGAGGGAAAAGGGCCTGCGGACAGCGCTGGCCCATTTTAAATTGAGGCCGCCGCCAACAGCGAGTCCGCATTACGACTCACCGGCGACGATCCTGGCTTCTGCCCATTATGGGCTCTGGGCGGCGCAGCTGTTGGAATCTTCGAGACTTTCCCCAAATCCCACATGCGCCGAAACAATGATAATGGGCTTCAATCCCAGGATGTAGCAAGATCAACAATCCCCTTCGCCCAGTATGAGACCCACCTGCCCCGCCCACCCCCCCCCCCCCCGGGAAAAAATCAGAGCCGAAAGTGTCAGAATTTGCCAGAATGTAAGACCCTTTTTGTGGGGGGGAGGGGGGTTAATTTTGGGCCTAGGTTTTTTGCGCGTAGGCTTTCGGCTTCAGGGCTTTATGGAGTCTGGGCTTGGCTTTAAGATTCCCGGCTTGAAGGCTTTGAGGGCCACACACACACACAAGGAAAGGTTTTGATACTCAGCACATCCGCCAGGAGCGACCTACCAAACGAGCCCGGACACGCGCTGCAAGGAAAACTAACGAACATCCTGTTTTGGGGCCGCTTTTTGTTGCATCCAGGAGATTGTATTTAAAAATAAATCCCCCAACAGCCAAATTCCCAACCAAAGCAGGTAGCTTGCAACACCGTGATGAACCCGAACACTCCCTAAACCCTAAACCCTAAACCCTACACCCTACACCCTAAACCCTAAACCCTAAACCCTAACCCTAAACCCTCTCTAGACCAACTGCTGCTCTGAAAGGATGCTCCCCGACTCAGGGCTGACGACTCAGGTCCTCTCTTTTGAATTTGCCAGGGACCTCAGGGGCAATGGACCAACTCGCACCATCCTACCTTTACTGGCTGGCTCTTAGCAAAAAATGAATGAGGTACCCTAAACGATCCCTTAAAATACGTATATGTATATATATATATATTTATTTATTTATTTATATTTATATTTATATTTATATTTGTCTTTATATTTATATTTATATTTATATTTATATTTATATTTATATTTATATTTATATATATAGCGCCCCTCATTCCCTACTAAGAACCAGGGATTTATGGCTTGAGGGGTCAAGAAAGCAACAAAGTCCAAACGCTAGGGCCGCTAGGTCGCAAGCCCCTTCGAAAGCCCTACGTCATGGGACCCTTCAACGTGCTCTAAACGTCTCATGATTGACCCCTTGGGCTGAAGCTACGACGGTCTTGTACCTCACAGGACTTTCTCGTCTTTCAGCGCAAAGCGCTGATGCGCGTTACAAGGGTCCTTGGGGCCTGGTAGACAGTAGCACAGCTGTACTAGGGCAATGTCACGGCACAAACATGCACAAACACCCAACCACCCTGCGCCACTCGCCTCTGAAGCTTGTTGAGCCTTAGTTGCAGGTTCAGGTGGCAAGCATACCGCAAAATGTAGGCGCCTGAAGAACTAAAACAGGGTTGAGGGGGGGGGTTAACGTATATTTCTAAAGAGATCATGAGGGAATATACTTTTGGTAAGTACTCCGACCCATATATTGGCAGGGCAAGTTGACCCTCCAAATGCCGGAGGCTCAGGGTGGTGCTTGGCAGGGAAACCGTGCAGGGGGCTTAGGGTTACGGGTTACGGCTTACGGGTTACGGGTTACGGGTTTAGGGTTTAGGGTTTAGGGCTTAGGGTTTAGGGTTTAGCCTCATGACGTGCATGTAGACCCCCATCAGTGCCGTGATATGGTTGTCTTCTGGATGAGAAGTACCTCTACAATTGGGCCGATACGGGGATTAGGCTTGAGGGTTGATTATTCATCCCTTGTTCTGCAGGAGCTGGGTATGTAGACCCCGATACTGCAAATTTGCAACCGACAGCAAGAAACCCAAAACCATGTCAGGTGAGATCGGGAAGAGTCCATCAAATCGTGGGTCGACATAGCGTCGCACCCTAAACCCAAAACCCTAAACCCTAAACTCTAAACCCTAAACTCTAACCCATGGAGCCAGGAAGCTTTTCATGGAGTCTCTTGAGCTCGGCGCGAATGGCCATGGAGTCGACGGCCCTGGCTTGACCTCCGTAGGCATCCCGTGAGTGAGTCAAGATCAACTTGACCAGGGGTTAGGGTTTAGGGTTTAGGGTTTAGGGTTTAGGATTTAGGGTTTAGGGTTTAGGGTTTAGGGTTTAGGGTTTGGGGTCTAGGGCTTAGGGTTAGGGGTTTGGAGAGGCAGTGTTGGGCTTGGGGTTCAATGCTGGAGACAAGGCTTCTACATTGCATTTGCTGAAGCTGCTTTCAAAACTCCTCGTCCTCGACAATCGGGAACTGTGTGGCTTCACACATGGCCGAAGGACTGTTGCAGCAAAGGGGGCGACTGCAGAAACATGGCCAGGCCAGACACCGAAAACGTCCATCATCCATCACTGGGAGCCCTGGTGTGAGATACACCCGAACTCTTGAACATTGCGATGAAGCCTTAATGTTGCACCCGCTTTAGTATCGGCCCTTCTTTGAAGACAAGTCGGCTGAATTATTCAGGACACCCTGACTGTTTTTGCGAGTCCCTCTTTAAAGACAAACGGCTCCCGAAATCCGGAATTTTTTGTTTAAGGGTTTGGGGCTTGTTTCGGCCCGGAGGTTCCGGCTTAAAGCCGGGCCTTATGATGTTAAAGCCGGGCCTTAGGATTTCAAAGGCCGACCTCATCCATTCCAATCGGCCCGAAACTAATATATGTAAGGAAACCATTTGAAAAATTGGTCCCCCTCAATTCGACAAGGGGGTGGTCCAGGGGTCCCCTCCGACCCCCAATAATGGGACTGATTCGGGACCCTCTTTAATGTCCAGGCCCCGGTCCGGAGGCTCCGAATTTAGAAAAAGCCAATGGATCCCGTTTAAATTCATATAAGCTCATCCCGGACCACTTTTCGATTCGCGCGGCTCCCTTTTAAATTCATAATTCATATAAGCTCATCCCTTTTAAATTCACATGGACCCCTTTGAAATCTATCTAAACTCCTGCCGATTAAAATCATATAAAATCCCGTGGGCCATTAACGAGGGCAAAACCCAGCCTCGACAGTTCAGGGGGGGGGGGGTGCACACTAAAGGAGGTGCCACATTACACCATCATCATTGCCATCACCATCACCATCGGCGACACCACAGTCAACAACATCAGCCCAGATAGCCCTACAGAAAGGACCATCGAGCCTTTGCAACGGAGGATCCCGTCTATGAACTCGTCGAGAGTGACCTGCAAAAAACTGATGAGCTCGACTCGCGCCAAGAGCCGCAAATTCAGTTTATCATCTATGTATGCTACATACGCCGCCACCCACAAGCCCATGCAAAATCCGACTTCATACCAAAAAAGGTGCACGCCGCAGAGACCCATGGCCCATAACCTGAAACAAGTCTACCGCACATTTACTGTGACAGTACCCACATGCCAGCTGATTTTAAAACATCAGCCCTGAATTCGAATGGATGAACTTCACACGCACACAAAGCATCGGGAGTGGGCTCCAGGGCTTAGTTTCCTCAGGCCATGTGGAGGCAATCCGCACCTACAGGCCATGCCATACAAGTTTAGCCAGCAACTGGTCACACCATGCTTGTCAGGTGGAAGCACTGCCGCAGCGTTGAGCATCTGCATCTTGCGTACACCCGGGCCAGAACTAAATTCTGCAATCTGTCTCGACTCTTCGGTCATGACGGCACCTTCATGTGGGCACCTTTCTGAGCACGTCGTAGACTGCCCTGACTGAGCCTTCCAGCATAATACCGGGGTGGGGGGGGGGGGGGGGGGGGGGGGCGATACCTGCATGCCTCGCGTAGCGAGGGCTGAGGCTGTTCTGCCTCTGGTGAGAAGTTCGGGCAGGGGCCAAAGCAAACCCTTTGGCCCTCTTGACTCTTTGCATTCCAGCCCGTGTTCCCGGATGCGGTCCATCAAGAACGACGGCTGCCCTTCCAAACAGGAGCCACGCCCTCTGTGCAACTGATGTATTGCTCTGCCTCGTTTAGGGTTTAGGGTTTAGGGTTTAGGGTTGAGGGTTTAGGGTTGAGGGTTCAGGGTTCAGGGTTTAGCGGCTCGGAAGCCACCTCCCATAAAACGTCACGGAGATCCTGCCACCGGCGCCCACACACAGGCGGTGAGCGGCTTCGGCTGAACCGATTTTGCCCGCTTCCTGGGTTTAGGGTTTACGGTTTCGGGTTTAGGGTTTAGGGTTTAGGGTTGATGGTTTACAGTTCCGACTCTTTGTCACAGAGCCCAAGGCTGGCAGATGCTTCGGCATTTCAGACGTCCTGGTCAAGTTCCTTGCGGCCTCTTTTCCGGATCTGCAGGCTTTTTTTGGGGCGGCTTCTCGGTAAAAGGCTGGCCGTCGACGAAGACCATCTCAGGTGAAACTTATCGGCTGCCCCAGTGTGAGCAGAGGAGAACAGACCCGTATGAATCAGAAGCTTGCGGCTCAATCTCTTTCTACAACCTTACTGACCTTGTGAAGGAGAACCGAACCCTACTACGCGTAGCCGGGTAAAAAGCAACGGACTTGACATGCCTGCCAGACTCTCTTTCGCTTGCGAGGGCTTTGCCTAGAGCCTTGGGATGTCAGGGTTCGGGCAGTTTGTGGGCATCTCCAAACATAGGGGGCACCCTGCCCCTTACATACCCCAAAAAGAATAGAATCCCCTTAGAGGGACCCCCAAAAAGGGCACCCCCTCACCCCCTAAACCCTAAACCCTAAACCCGAAACCCTAAACCTATTTCTATGGGCGATCAGGTCCATGAAGCTGTGCCTCGCCGTCACCATTGTCAATGATGTGGAAGAAAACAGACGTCTCCTTCCGTGGATGTCGGTTTAGGGTTTAGTGTTTAGGGTTTAGGGTTTAGGGTTTAGGGTTTAGGGGTCGAGCGCAGTGGCGCAGCTGCCCCGTTGCTTTTAGGGCGTGGACGAAGGCTTAACTTAGAAACAAGAAAACCGTTTCGTAGCACGTACGTCCCCCTCTGAGCCTTGACCGAACACGCTGAAGAAATTCCTGCCAAAAAGGTTTTAAGCTTTAACTCCACAAGTACATGGACTTGAAAGGGACCTAGCAACTAGCAACAGGCTGATTGAGCTTCAGGGGAGGTGTTGACAGAGTCTCTTGAAGGGGTCCCGATCTATAGGGAAATCTGACGTGACTGGGTTCCAGTCCTGCACGTCCAAGTCGAGAGTGTTGAAATACGCTGACACCTCGCCACTTGCCAGAGATGCTTCAGCGGTGTTGAGGTCTTCGGCACAAACTGAAACCCCTAAGCATTTGGCTTTGGTGCCGTCAGCTCGGCAGAAAGCCTGACACTCCGAAGCCCTCAAACCTGAAGCCCAAATGCAACACGCATTCTCCAAAAGAGGGGTACCCCCAATACGTGCACTTCCCCAAACAGCGCAGCAACTCTGAGGACTTCCAAGATCCAGGGAGATCGAGTGGCCCGCGACCGGCGCGCGGGGGCCCGGACTGTGCGTTTTTCTCGAAGCCTACTCGCATTTTGCACGAAGATCGCGCTCTCGCCCAGGCACGTGGCCGCCCTCGTGAAAGCTGCCGTCACTGCTTCGGTTCGGACGTTGGGGTTCTCCACGTGGTCTTGGACCATTGGCGTGGTCTTTCGTGTCCCTATGATCTCACACTGTCTGGGGTCTACGCAGGAAACCCTGGTCAAGAATCCCAAGAGAAACCACCCGAAACCCTAAACCCTAATCTCTAAACCCTAAACAACCCGAAAAACAAAATAGCCAGCCTTGGGGTGGCTCAGCATCTGCTCCAAACGCTCCTCCGTGATCATGCCGTCTCCTGCTTGGAGGTTCTCTGCGAACGCTGCCCAACATAGATGTACACACAAATATGCATATAGGTATAGATGTATAAATATAGATATATATATATATATATAATACGTATACCGCCTATTATCATACACATATATATATATATATGTGCCCGATTTTCCAGCGTTGCTTGCAGGCTCCAAGGGCCAACTTGCTAGCAAGCGGCCTGTCTTGTCGATTGCCTTGAAGACAGCCTCCACGCCACAGGCTTCCCTTCATGTCTAAGGCTAGCCTAAACTCGGTAGACGAAGGTTCCTCGAAGCTCCGCCAGGGTTCTGTGGGAAGTGTACGCTCTCGCTCTACGTACTCAGGATGCCCGGCGAGCTACAGTGCCGACAGGTTGGGGGACTGATGTCCGAGTGCTTCCGAATAGGAAAGACGCGAGTAGATGGCATACATTGGTGTCTGCAGGCATCACAATCACCGCCACGAAAAAATTATGCCGGCGTAGACCCCAAACAGTGAGGAGGGCCAGAAAAGGCCAAAGAAGGCCAGAAGAGCACCGACACTCCCGGGGACAAAAAGTACAAAAGTTCGTGGGGGACCGAATTCTCTTAGGGGTCAAAAAGACGCCAACCACTGGAAGATTCGGCTTTGCACGCGTGTGGAACTTGGGGTCAAAAAGGCCCGTGGCCAACCACTGGGGCCTGAAGAGGCCACAAGAGGCCGGAACGGAATTCGCGCGAAACCACAGCGGGAGCCTCGAAACAAAGGCCCCGCCCCGCCGTTGCGGTCCGCAACCTAAGTGGCCCCCCCCAGAAGAGGCCAGAAGAGGCTCGAGCAAGCCAGAAGAGGCCGGAATTCACACGAAACCACAACGCAACGAAATTCGCGCGAAACCACAGCGGGAGCATGGAAACGAAGGCCCCGCCCCACGCGTGCGCCGTTGCGGTCGGCAGCCGAAGTGGCCCCCCCAGAAGAGGCCTGAAGAGGCCACGAGAGGCCGGAATTCGCGCGAAACAACACAGCGAGAGCATCGAAATGCAACGGAATTCGCGCGAAGCCACAGTGGGAGCATCGAAACGCAACGGAATTCGCGCGAATCCACAGCGGGAGCGTCGAAACCAAGGCCCCGTCCCACCGCGCGCCGTTGCGGTCAGCAACCTAATAAGTGGCCCGCCCAGAAGAGGCCTGAAGAGGCCACGAGAGGCCGGAATTCTCGCGAAACCACAGCGGGAGCATCGAAATGCAACGGAATTCGCGCGAAACCACAGCGGCAGCATCGAAACGCCACGGAATTCGCGCGAAACCACAGCGGGAGCATCGAAATGCAACGGAATTCGCGCGAAACCACAGCGGGAGCATCGAAACGCAACGGAATTCGCGCGAAACCACAGCGGGAGCGTCGAAACCAAGGCCCCGTCCCACCGCGCGTGCCGTTGCGGTCGGCAACCTATAAGTGGCCCCCCGAGAAGAGGCCTGAAGAGGCCACGAGACAGGCCGGAATTCGCGTCGAAATGCAACGGACTTCGCGCGAAACCACAGTGGGAGCATCGAAACGCAACGGAATTCCGCGAAACCACAGCGGGAGCGTCGAAACCAAGGCCCCGTCTCACCGCGCGCGCCGTTGCGGTCGGCAACCTAAGTGGCCCCCCCAGAAGAGGCTTGAAGAGGCCACGAGAGGCCGGAATTCGCGCGAAACCACAGGGGGAGCATCGAAATGCAACGGAATTCGCGCGAAGCCACAGCGGGAGCATCGAAACGCAACGGAATTCGCGCGAAACCACAGTGGGAGCGTCGAAACCAAGGCCCCGTCCCACCGCCGCGCGCGCCGTTGCGGTCAGCAACCAATTCCTTTACCCTGAACGTAAGAACCCCATTGTGCAAGCACTGTTTGGGGAAATAAATGAAAAAAAACACGGCGACGAGCGTTGAAACTCACAACTCGACCGGAAGCCCTGCGTGCGGTGCTGTACGCTGCTGCACGGCGCCTGCCTCGAGTTTGTCAACATATTCAGCTTTCTTGCGTAGCCTCTCCACCACCAGGTTCTCCTTGGCAAAGTGCCCAGCATGTTGCAAACAACCGTTTAGGAATTCGGGCATTGGGCTTCACAACACACCGAAGCCAGATCAGATGGTAGCGGCTGAGACCATGCTGATTCAAGCCAAGAGGCGGAATCATTCTGCGCGGCATCGAGGGTATCCTTCAAGAATATTGCCTGTGCATCCAGCATCTTGCCCATTTAGGGTTTAGGGTTTAGGGTTTAGGGGTTAGGGACTGGATGCCCCCGGCAAGTGGCCAAGTTCCATCAGCAACGAATCCATGCTATCGTTCAAGGCGTAGTAAAGGAATCCACTCCGTTTCATCGGCTCGCTACGCAGCTTCAAGAGAACCTACGGCAGCTTGTCAACAACATGCGCATCCCACGTGCAGCCGGCAACCACACGAACCCCAGAGCCCTAAACCCTCAGAGTATCGAAGGTCGGTCATCACAAACCTCAAGCCTCACAGCCAGAAGAGGCCAAGTTACCTCAAGCCTCAAAGCCAGAAGTGGCGAAATTCCTTCAACAATCTTGTAACTCCACCAACCCCCATGGTCCCTCAATCTGCCCAGGTGCAGTAATGACTCGTATCACAGCAAAAACCACGATGGTGATGTACAGCCTCGGAGATGACAAATCAGGTTTTAGGGTTTTCGGGTTTAAGGAAGGGCTTCGGGTTTTCGGGTTTTAGGGTTTTAGGGTTTTCGGGTTTTAGGGTTTTAGGGTTTTAGGGTTTTAGGGTTTTAGGGTTTTAGGGTTTTAGGGTTTTAGGGTTTTAGGGTTTTAGGGCTTTAGGGCTTTAGGGCTTTATGGCTTAGGGTTTCGACTTTTAGGGGTTTAGGGTTTAGGGCTTCAGGGTTTTAGGGCTTAGGGTTTGGGTTGCGTATGTTTGGGAGCTGAAAAGGCTTGGGACTCGTTCTCTGGTTGGCGGAGAGGCTACAAATTCTAGCCTAGCATCGCTGTTCGTGACTTGACGGCGCAAGGCTTTGCATGAGGTCACAATTCGTCCGCCGCTTTCTGGCAGCAGCAAAAGCCATCCTTAAAGTGAAGGTTTTGGGTTTAGGGGGGTTTAGGGGGGTTTAGGGGGGTTTAGGGAGGTGCATCTCGAACTTGAACTCCTGATCACGCATCATCGAAACTAACCCCCACAACCTCTCGTGAGACGGCACGTAACAACTGCCTACATTACATTCCCTGGCAAAGCCTCTAGAAACTCTAGAGGCCCAAAACCCTAAACCCTAAACCCTAAACCTTAAACCCTAAACCCCGGCCAGAGAGCAGGAAGAAGATGACGTAGGCATGGCTTACCTTGTCGAGCACCGGCCTGACGTTCGTCGGCCAGTTGCCTGCAACCAGTGGTGTGGGTGCAGGGGTCATGCGTACCTGCGACCCAAGATTAACCTAGGGTACAAAACGGGTGCCCTTTTTTTTGATTTAAAGGGGCATGAGGGCCCACTCCGGGTCCTAGTGTACCTGCCACTGTGCATTGCAGCAGCGGAAAGATATGGGGGCTTACGAAAGACCCCTCAAATAAGGCAGAAGGATTCCCTTATGATAGGGACCCAATGATTAATGTACCCCCTAATCTCGGAAACCCCCAAATCTGGATCCACCATGCCCTGGCAAAGGCCTGCGAAGGTTATTTCATACAGAGTGTAGAGCGCGCGGTAGGCGGTGCCATAGTGCCGCCAAATCCATTGCCGGTCTTCCAGCGACTCGGACTCGCTCTGCGTGAACTCCTCATCACAGACCCTGAGGGCCTGAACCCTTCTTGAACCCAGACTCCTGAAGTCAGCCCCTAAACCCTAAACCCCAAACCCTAAACCCTCAAGCCTCAAGCCTAATGCCTGCAACCTGGTTGTAGGGAACCAGTTCCACCAACGGACACAGGTTTCAAGACGGCGGCCTCCTTTCTGGACTTCCCTCTAAACCCTAAACCCTTTGCTACACCTAGACCTGTTGATTTCCTGCCTCAACCCTAAACCCTAAACGCTCCGCCCGCGCGTTTTGCCGCGCTTCGACTGGAGCAAATGATGTTGCACATGCTTCCCGTATCGTTATTTGCAGTGTTTTATAGCTTCACGAGTCGTGCAAAAGTCGTTTATGTCAGGACGCCGTTTATAAAATTCAGCGTCCCAGACGCATACCTCTCGAGAAAAGTGCCGTTGAATGTGTGTGTGTGTGTCTACAAGGCCAGAGCGAGCAATTTTCCTTGCTGACCCGTGACTGCGCTGCCGGTTGCTGGACTACTGTCTGTTGCGCAAGAGCATGGCGCCCTGGACAATCGCACGCAGTGGTACATGGACGTTATCAAGGTTCGGGCACGGTGCCCTAGACACTCGCACGTACTGGTACAGTGTTGCTGTGGGCAATGGACGCACTGGCAGCATGGATGTTATCAAGGTTCGGGCATGGTGCCCTATGTACTGGTACAGTGTTGCTGTGGGCAATGGACGCACTGGCAGCATGGACGTTATCAAGGTTCGGGCATGGCGCCCTAGACAATCGCACGTACTGGTACAGTGTTGCTGTGGGCAATGGACGCACTGGCAGCATGGACGTTATCAAGGTTCGGGCATGGAGGAATGTCCGAGGCCGCTTGAAGTGGCCAGAACGGATCTTCACCATTCGAGGGAGAGGCGATGCGACAACATCATGCGATGGAGAGGCGAAGCGGCAACATGGCACGTGGAGGCCTCACCATGCGAAGGAGAGGCGAAGCGACAACATGGCGCGTGGAGGCCTCGACGAACTTGAGCTGAAATCTCTCGGAAAGCATGGCAGGGACGGTGTTGACACAGATGGTAAACCTGCGGCAACACGTGTGGTCGTAGGTCTAAACCCTGAACCGTAGACCCTAAACCCTAAACCCTAAACCCTAAACCATGTCCGGCAGTGGCCCGAGGCGCTGGAAGACTTGGGGAGGCTCGGTGGGGGAAGAAGGATACACTTTCTCGTTAAAGAAAGGCTCTAAAGGTTCAGGGATTCAGGGTTTAGGGTTTAGGGTTCAGGTTTTTTCCCCCACCCGTTTCGCATGAGTTTACGGGGACAAGGTGAGATCTTCCAGTTTCAGCCCTTATGGTTGAGGGTTTAGGGTTAAGAGTTAGGTACACCCCTACACCCACCCGGTCTAACCTCATCAAACCAAGCGGCCAGATTAAGTGGAACCAACCACCCAGTCCGGCCGGTAAAGGCATAATACATCTCCAGCAATGAGAACCCTCCCGGGTCGCAAACCCACTCGACAGAACAAAACCACGCAAACAAGAGGATTTGTGGGCAGTGGTTTGGAGATGCAGGTGGAAGTTTGCCAGAATTGTCATTGGGGTCCGAGATGAGTGTTTGCAAGTGGTCAAGCTGCCAGGGCCATGAAAAATCTCACAAGAACTGATCCCTTAGGTCCTGCCTTTCTTTGAACATGAAAGCAAAGAGGAGTACCGAGGTGCAGGGGCTTCCAGTTGTCTAGCACAGCTTTGCAGATCTTGGAGTGTACAAGCTCCACGGTACCCTCCGCCCTCCCTGTCGTGGCTCTCGTACCAGAGTTTTAGGGTTTAGGGTTTGGGGTTTGGGGTTTAGGGTTTAGGGTTTGGGGTTTAGGGCTTGGGGCTTGAGGTTCGAGGCTCACGCGCCGATCAGTCCGACGCACGCACCTAAAGACAATCCAAGAGGTCGAGAGCAAACATCCGGGTTCACTCCCCACTCCCAAACCCCTTAACCCCAGCTTTCCCTAAATTCACCCAAAATTTTCCCAAAATTTCCCCCAAATCCCCCCACAATTCCACCGAAATTTCCTAAATTCCATTAAATTTCCAAACCCTCAATTCCAATCCTTTTGATGCACACCTGCTGCCCCCAAGGCTCCAGGAGCAGGTTCCCCAACACCAGGGCGCCCATGGACATGAAAACGGCGAGCAGAACCATGGACCAACCTCTGGCTGGTTCTTAGTAGGGAATGAGGGAATTAGGGTTTAGGGTTAAGGGTGTAGGGTTTAGGGTTTAGAGGTTAGGGTTTAGGGTTTAGCGTTTAGGGTTGTAGGGAATGAAGGAATTAGGGCCCTATATAATCGCTTAAAGGGTATATATAGGGCCCTTATTCCCTCATTCCCTACTAAGAACCATGGACTAACCTCTCCGCTTTCCAGAGCTGATGGCGCACCCGAAGCTGAAAAGGGTTTAGGGTTTAGGATTTAGGGTTTAGGGTTCAGGGTTCAGGTTTCAGGGTTCAGGGTTCAGGGTTCAGGGTTCAGGGTTTAGGGTTTAGGGTTTAGGGTTTAGGGTTTAGGGTTTAGGGTTTAGGGTTTAGGGTTTAGGGTTTAGGGTTTAGGGTTGTGTGTTTGCGGCTTCTGTAAATGGCTGCTTCCAGGTGGGCTCCAAGCAATGACGGCAAATTGCGGAAAAAGCTCATGCCAATATGTAGCTCGATGAAAAAAGTCGAGTTAGCTCTACTGGAACGCTCAACGGATCTGGGCATTTAGCGAGCCTGTACTTTGACAGGCGAGTCGGATTTTCTTACGCCCACGCTGAAAAACTAACTAGTTCAATTTCGCTCAACTGGACTGTAAATTAGTTCAACCTACATTCAGGTTTACAGAGGCATATGCTTAAGACAAGTTTGTAAAAAAAAAAACTGACAAACCTTCGGTGAACATGAAAAAGTTCGATCCATGCCATAGTCAAGCTTCCACTTTTCTGCATCGTTCGAATACACCCTCCGAACCCTGAAGCCCGAACCTAAACCCTAAACCCTAAATACACCCTCCAAACAAAAAAAAAACGCCTTCCTGTTGCTTTTCGAACTTGGACGCCTTCAGGCCTTTCTAGCCAAAGTCTATTAGGGTTTAGGGTTTAGGGTTTAGGGTTTAGGGCTTAGCGCTTAGGGTTTAGCGTTTAGGGTTTAAGGGTCGAAACAAAGCCTGGCCGATTTTTCGTTAGACTGGCATGACTTCTCAGCCCTTTGCTAGTTTAAGTTGAACTGATTGGCGCGGAACTTGTTCTTTAAACGTTTGTTGAGAGCAAACAAAGGAGCCCTTTAGTGTGTTCCTCTCTCGTCTATGTGTCTTTGCTTTTCCTCCTTCCTGCATGTCGTTTGTTGTTGCTATCACGTATGATCATGCGTTCCTTATGTTTCGCTTCGCCTTCCTTTCAGCATGCCAAGGAGCAGGATATCTTACATTCCCAATGCTAACAGCTGACCGTCGTGAAGCCAACAAACATCAAACAGATGCCAAGAGCACCCACCCACTTGCAACCACCCTAAACCCTAAACCCTGAACCCTAAACGCAACTAAAACAAAGAGAAACAAGACGTAGACAAGTTCACACCGAGAGGAACGACAAGAAAGGAAAGGTAAGATGAAGCCGCCAAATAGCCACGAGCTCCTCCCCTCCCCGGGGGCTTGGTCAGAATAGGGTTGTCGTAACCCATGTAAGGGGTACCCCTACTTGGGGTTTGGGGTTTAGGGCTTGGCATCTCGGATGTTGGGAAAGGGAGTGAGTATAACAAATAGGAGGCAAACGAACCACAGGCGACTGTCTAAACACACAAGAAGGGCACCGAAACCTTTGGAACTGAGAGCCACCAACCCCCGCCCAACGATTCCATGCAACCCCTTGTACAAAGAAAGCCCTGAACCTTAAACCACTATACGGTCCATCTAACCCGGAAGCCCCCTTAAAGCCCTGAACCCTGAAGGTTTGTAGGGTAGGGCTTCACAACGTGCACATGCTGAGGATCTGTGCGCATGCTGTGTGGGGCTTAGCTGGCGCCGAAGAGCACAGCGAAGGCAGAAAGCATTGGCACGCTTGCACCAATAAGCGCAGGCCGCGCACAAACCTGTCACAGTGTGGCTTCGTTGAGCACACCCCTAGAACACCCTCATAGACCACACAAACCCACACAAACCCACATAAACCCACAGAAACCCACGTAAACCCATACAAACCCAGATAAAACCCATGTAAACCCATAAAAACCCGAAGCCCAGCCCAGCCCCTTGCAACCTGCCGCTGGAGTCAAATGAAGGCAGTCCAAAGAGCCCTGGGATGCCATCAAAACGCCCCAAAGCCCGTGAATCCTTTGTTGCCTGAATTTGGGTTTAGGGTTTAGGGTTTAGGGTTTAGGGTTTAGGGTTTAGGGTTTAGGGTTTAGGGTTTAGGGTTTAGGGTTTAGGGCTTAGGGCTTAGGGCTTAGGGCTTAGGGTTTAGAGCTTAGGGCTTAGGGCTTAGGGCTTAGGGCTTAGGGCTTCGGGCCTAGGGCTTAGGGCTTAATTAGGGTCTTGAATCCTGACAAGCACCTGAATCCGTCAGGGACAATAAACAAGAATGGGTTCAGGGTGCAGACAATGGACCCCCAACCATCTCGGAGATTTAGGGTTTAGGGTTTAGGGTTTAGGGTTTAGGGTTTAGGGTTTAGGGTTCAGGGTTTAGGGTTTAGGGTTTAGGGAGATTCCGCAAAAAGGCCAAACACGAACCGCAGGGCCTGAAGGTCCGCAGCAAGCGGACGGCACGCAGGGACTTCAGCGTCCTGCCAGAGTGCAGGGCAGGGGTTCCCTAAATTTCCCTTCGGCCTAATCCCTACAACCCTAAAACCCTAAAACCCTAAAACCCTAAAACCCTAGAACCCTAAAACCCTAAAACCCTAAAACCCTCAAACCCTAAACCCAAAACCCTTGAGGTGTCCGGGGGGCCCAGGGCCTTAAGACTCGGTTGTTCATGTCAACATGGCTTAAGATGTTCAAGATCACTTGTCCGATCCCTGTGTCGGGGCTAGATTCGGCTAGATAGGTCTTCTGCAAGGTCCTCGAAAATCAGGATAGCAGGGCTTCAACCAACGAACTCATTGCAACCAGGTGGTCAATGCCGCGAAACCGAGCGGTGTCCTGACCACGCGCATCATGGCATCAGGCGAATTGCCGGACATCGGCACCACAATGAATAAGTCGACCATCCTCATCACGCCGCGAGGCGGAGCCAAACAAAACTTCAAAACTTCGTGCATCTAGATCTGCTTCTGAACTCATACCCATACCCTTTTTGCCAAAACAAACCATTTACCCAAACAGCGCCAAAGCACCCCGTGATAACCAAGCAGGCATCGAAGAGGTTGGCCAAGTCATGGTGCCTCAGCACGCAGCACAGCCCAAACAGGAAACTCTGAGACCTGCGCCCCATTCAGTGTTCGGGGTGTTTTTGCTTCGGGTTTTGGCATTGAAGCTTTGGGCTTTGTGCCTTAGGGCTTATAGAGCTTCGCGTTTCGTGGGGAAACCCATTTCAGATCGCCAAAGGCATGTGAAGACCAACCTCAGCCCGGCGGGTCCGAAAAGTCCTTCCACATGTTGACCCAAAAATGGTGGGCCTTGAGATATGCCCCCTTATACTCACAGTCCTCAATAGGGAAGATAGTACCACCTCTTAAGGACTGTTAGTATAGTGGCGAACATCCCAAGATGGACCTCTCGTCGGGCCTCTGTTGCAGCTAGCTCCCTAGCCCAGTTGTCCAGTAACCTGGGGGAAGCAAAGGTTAACCTTTGGGATTATAAGGGGATTCTACTCCCCCAAAAAGGTGGCTACCTACTCTACTACTAGGTTAGCTTCTTGTGGATGTTGACAAAAGAGGCCGGCGCCTTAAATCAAGCCCGTCCCATGAGCCTCTGCAAGCCCTTCCCCAAACAGCAGGAACAAAAAAAAAAACCGAACACCCTGAACCCTAAACTCTAAACAAGGCCCCTATGGTAGTGCTTGAGGTGTTTGGGTTTCGGCTTCGGGCTTTCCGGTATTCCGCCCTGAAACCAACTGAGGCCCCAAGCGGTAAAAAACACTCCATGTCATCGGGGTTTAGGGTTTAGGGTTTAGGGTTTAGGGTTTAGGGTTTAGGGTTTAGGGTTTAGGGTTTAGGGTTTAGGGTTTAGGGTTTAGGGTTTAGGGCTCTTGTTCGACCAGGGGATCCCATTTGGGGAGTTGCCGCTCTGCTGCCAGTAGGGCCACTCGAGAAACACCCGGATGAGAAGCTCCTGCATCAGGTCGAAAGGCTGGCGATTTAAAGGAGGGACCACTGGAAAGGACCCTTGATCTTATTCCCCTGTATAACCCCTATGTATAATATACCTTTTTTGGCCCCTATGAACCCCCAAAAGGTCCCCTTCTAAGGTTCCCTCCTTTAGTCCCTTCAAGAATACAACCACCTGAACTCGTAATGTTCCCCCTGAATGGGGATTGTAGTAGGGGGCACTATAATCCCTACTAAGGACTGCTAGTATAAGGGGTTCAGGGTTTAGGGGGAGAACATCCCAAACCTTTTTGTTGATGGCAAACGCCTGCTTCGGGAGGCTTCAGCATCAGACCCACCATAACCTCGAACCAAAACCTGCAGGGTTTGGGGTTTAGGGTTTAGGGTTTAGGGTTTAGGGTTTAGGGTTTAGGGTTTAGGGTTTAGGGTTTAGGGTTTAGGGCATCTGAACAGTAACATCTTCTATTCCCGACATCAGATGCACGACTCATGAGTTTGCCACCACTGCGCTCCAGCAGGAAAATGAAGATGAACAACGTGTCGATTGTTTTGAAAACTGGCAGCCTGTGCGGACAGAAGGGCAGGGAGTCTTATTTGCATTCAAGGCTTTGGCACTTCGGCGTTTCGAGTATCCCGGCCCTGCCAGAATCCCCACACACACACACAGCCCCGGAGACACTGGGCATGTCCTCGAAAGCCCTTTCCCCAAACCCACTGTAGGAGCCCAGATACCCTTCAAAGAATAAGAGGGTTCAGGGTTCAGGGTTTAGGGTTTTGAGGCTTCAACTATGTTTTCATCCATTCTGAAGCCGGTACTTGTTCGGGGGCACACACACACACACACGAATAGCAGAGTCCCCACGGGCTGGACACCCTTGGTGTGATGGGGCATTCGAAAGGTCAAGCACCCCCAAACCCCTAACCCCTAATCTCCTAACCCCTAATACCCTAACCCGTAAACCCTACACCCTAAACCCCTAGACCCCTAGACCCTAAACCCTAAACCCTAAACCTGCGTCCGGGTCGCCACTCAGTCAAGTCCACGAAATCTCCGTAGCCAACCGTGGCACCCACTGCGCGGCCCTCCACCTTTTGACGATTTAGGGGCTTAGGGGTGTAAGGGTTTAGGGGTTGAAGAAATTAGGGTTTAGGGTTTAGGGGCTTAGGGGTTTATGGGCTTAGGGATTTAGGGGGTGTAGGGGTTTCGACCCTCACGCTAGCACAAGCAGGCAAGGCTCCAGTAGGTCAAGGGGTTTAGGGGTTTAGGGGTTTAGGGGTTTAGGGGTTTAGGGGTTTAGGGGTTTAGGGGTTTAGGGGTTTAGGGGTTTAGGGGTTTAGGGGTTTAGGGGTTTAGGGGTTTAGGGGTTTAGGGGTTTAGGGGTTTAGGGCTTCAGGGGTTTAGGGGTTTAGGGGGTTTAGGGGTTTAGGGGGCTTCGGGGCTTAGGGTTTGGGGTTCAGCTCGCACGGCAGGGTTTCGGGCTGTAAGAGTAGGGTTATGACGTCCAGGGTTTAAGAAGCTTAAGGGTCGAGGAGTTTAAGGGTTCAAGGGTTTAGAAGCTTGAGGGTCCAGGGGTTTTAGGGGTTTCAGGGCTTAGGGTGTTCAGGGGTCTAAGGGGTGCAAGGGTTTACGGGGTTTATGGGGTGTCGGCCTTGGTGGCGTCCAAAGGGTCTCTGAAGGCTTTGAGGAAGCAAAAAGGCATTCACCCCCCCCACCCCCCCACCCAACTGATTTCGGCAATATGGAGGTCTGAATAATTTCAATGGGTAGGAGGGAATGCTCGAAAAACAATTGCTCCCTAATATTATTTCATCTCAATGGGTGCTTAGGTAGTTCAGAGTAGATGTTGTAGGGATTGAATCAAGGGACAATATGGGGGTTTACGATGTTAGGGGTACCTGATTGGGGTCCTCACTTTTTAAGGGGATCCTGCTACTTGGGGGTCTATCCTGGGGGAACCCGCGTCACTTAGCAAACCCACAACGCGATCACTTGGCCAATCGGGAAACCAAATGGTTTGCGATCACTTAGCAAACATTTTTACGATCACTTAGCCAACTCTAGCTTTCAGGCTAGGTTTTGGCTTTAAGGTTTAGGGTTTAAGGGTCAAGGGTCAAGGGTTTAGGGTTTAGGGTTTAGGGTTTGGGGTTTGGGGTTTAGGCTTTAGGGTTTAGGGTTCAGGGTTTAGGGCTTAGGGTTTGGGGTTCAGGGCTTAGGGTTTAGGGTTTAGGGTTTGGGGTTTAGGGTTTAGGGTTTAGGGCTTCTCTTACCTTTTAGGGTTTAGGGTTTCCTTTTGGGGGTTAAGGCTTTAGGGTTTACGGTTTAGGGTTTGGGGTTTGGGGTTTAGGGTTTAGGGTTTAGGCTTCAGGGTTTAGGGCTTCTCTCACCTTTTAGGGTTTACGGTTTCCTTTTGGGGTTTAGGCTTTGGGTTTAGGGTTTAGGGTTTAGGGCTTCTCTTACTGTTTAGGGTTTAGGGTTTCCTTTTGGGGTTTAGGCTTTGGGTTTAGGTTTAGGGTTTAGGGTTTAGGGTTTAGAGTTTAGGGTTTAGGGTTTAGGGTTTAGGGTTTAGGGTTTAGGGCTTCTCTTACCTTTTAGGGTTTAGGGTTTGGGGTTTAGGGTTTGGGGTTTAGGGTTTAGGGTTTAGGGCTTCTCTTACCTTTTAGGGTTTTAGGGTTTCCTTTTGGGGGTTTAGGCTTTAAGGTTTGGGGTTTAGGGTTTAGGGTTTGGGGTTTAGGGTTTAGGGTTTCCTTTTGGGGTTTTGGTTTTGGATTTGGGATTGAGGGTTTAGGGTTTAACCATTTAGGGTTTAGGGTTCAGGGTTAGGGTTTAGGGTTGAGGGTTTAGGGTTTAGGGTTTAGGGCTTCTCTTACATTCTAGGGTTTAGGGTTTCCTTTTCGGGGCTTAGGCTTTAGGGTACAAGAGACAAGAAGGGGTACAAGAGCTCCAAAAATCAGCGTGCTAAGCGATCATGTTTTTTGAGCGTGCTAAGCTGGCTAAGCGACCCCTTTACCATACTTGGGGTCCTCATTTTCGCCCATATTGCCATAACTTCGCCTTATGTGGGCACTTTTGGTCACAAACCCTGAACCCTAAACCCAAAACCCGAAAGCCCTACCCCCCTCCCTCTCTCTCTCTCACTCTCTCTCTCTCTCTCTCTCTCTCTCTCTCTCCCTCCCTCCCCTAAACCCCGAAACCCTAAACCCCTCTGTTGCCTCCAGCTCCAGCATCAGGAGCACGCAGTTCAGAAACACGAGGCCTGGCAAGGGCTTTCGGGTGCTCGGCCGTAGCAAAGAGCCGGCTCCAGGGCTCTCTGGCTCAACGGTACGGTGTAGGGTTTAGGGTTTAGGGTTTAGGGTTTAGGGTTTGGGGTTTGGGGTTTGGGGTTTGGGGTTTAGGGCTTAAAGTTTAGGGTTTAGGGTTTACCTCCATCCCCCTTCTGGCTCTGGCATGATTCGTCTACCCCAGAGCTACGCCTCCATCTCCCTTCTCTGGCATGATTCATCTACCCTAGAGCTACTTTTCAGGATCTGGGACTCCCAACACGCTAGGTTTGAGGGTTTAGGGGCACGTACACCAGGGCGCGTACACCAAATCCTGAACCCTTTAACAATGGTCTCAGGAAAGCTACGGCCCTGAACCACAAGCCCTATAGACCCTAAAAGCCCTGAATCCTTGATACCCTGCAAGGGCAAATAAGGTCAATCGGCAGAGCACATGTCGTCAATCGACAAACGAACAAGATCAATCGGCAAAGCGAATAAGGTCAATCGCGTTCCGGTTTGGGCCTCCTTTGCGGGTCTCCTATAGGGGGCTTCCTCCCTCACCCTAAACCCTAAACCCGAAACCCTAAACCCTAAACCCTTTAGGGCCTGTTTGTTTTTTTTCGGAGGTTCCTTTTAACGGCTGCTCTACGGCTCTCGGCTTAATGCATGGGTTGTTTTGCAACGAACTTGAATTGGATGTGCTTGATGAAATGGAACCTAGCTGCGGGTGTGCATTTCTTCGTGCGATTAGGGTCTATATGTATGCATGTGTATGTATATATATATATATATCTATTTCTCTATCTATCTATCTATCTATCTAGAGTGCTCGGAGACACTAAAGACCCTAAACCCTTTAAGCCTCTTATTCTGAGGAGTGGTTAAAAATTTAGGGTCATGTTTCCGAGCATGTCGGATTTGAGCATCAGTGTCTTTGGGGTCTGCAGGGCTTGGTGGTTCAGGGCCTTAGGGCTTTCTGGTCTTCAGGGCTTCCGGCTTGAAAGCTTTTGAGGAGTTTGAGGGTAGACCTTCGTTTGAGGGCTTGGGAGCATCGGGCCATGGAGGTTAAAGAAGAATTAGGCATGAACACTCCGAAGCTGGTGTAGTTGCAAAGCCAGGAAAGGGTGCGAGAACCTTTCAGCAGTGAGCTCTACAGCCCCCCTGGAACATTCGGACTGTAAGACGACCACCACAACCGGCAGAACGACAGTAGCCAGCAGCCATACTGACTCGTTCGCGCTATCCTGCTTCACAGCAAACCACTTCGTTGAAAGCGCGCCCCGCGTGTACGAGGCGCGAAGTGGCCCAGATGCAGAAAAAAAGTGTATCTGCTGAACTCCCCCCCCCCCCCCCCACCCTCCCCGCCTCCAGCCGAATAGTCCAGAATGAAACGCCAGCGGGTTCTGTCCTTGCAGTCATTGAACCTCTTAACAAACGTCACGAAGGGGCACCCAGGTTAAATACCTACATGGGCATAGGTGCCTTTCAGATGTGGTGGTTTGCGACAATAGGGGACCCCTAATATGGTCTCCCAAATAATGAGATCCCGTAGAATAAGGACCCCAATAAGCTACCCTTCATTTCGGAAAACCCAGTTTAACCACCAGGGAAATCTGAACCCAGACGAATGGGCAACGGGGATTGCATGAGAACTGGTTGCCCCAATGCATCGGGCTTGCTGCTGCCCTCGCCTGGTTAGACCCTGAACCCTAAACCCTAAACCCTGGCCCTAAACCCTAAACCCAAACC